GTACTCACGCACGCGTATATGTGTATATATATATATATAGAGAGATGTATACCTATACGACCACCCTTCGGGTGATGAGGAGGTTGTGGGGGCGGGGGGGGAGGGGGGGAACCAACATCTGACTCAATCGATATCACTGTCGATCTCACTCAACGGGACACCATATGACACCACGGGACACTTGTCGATCTCGTTATCGATCTGATTATCGGTCTCATCCATTGGGCCACCACCGAACACCGCGGGACACCGCGGGACACCATTCGATCTCACTATCGTTCTTATTATCGATCTCACTATCGATCTCACTCAACAGGACACCATAGGACACCACGGGACACATCGGGACACCACATCGATCTCAGTATCGATCTCACTATCGATCTCACTCAACGGGACACCACGGGACACCACAGGACACCTGTCGATCTCACTATCGATCACATGTTTTGGGACACCACGGGACACCCGGGGACACCACATCGATCTCATGATCGATCTCACTATCGATCTCACTCAACGGAACACCACGGGACACCTGTCGATCTCACGATCGATCTCACTTTTTGGGACACCACGGGACACGACGGGACCTTGGGGCACCACATCGATCTCACTATCGATCCACTATCGATCTCACTATCGATCTCACTCAACGAGACACCACGGGACACCACCGGACACCGCGGGACATCGCGAGCCACCGCCAGACGGACGGACGGATGGGGCGGGCGGGGGAGAATCATTTGTCTTGACTTCGCCCTAGCAACGGCGGACACCACGGGACACCGCAGGATACCGCGAGCCACCGTCGGACGGGAGGGAGGGGGAGCATATTTGTGCTGACTTCGCCCTAGCAACGACGGACACCACCGGACACCACGGGACACCGCGGGACACCGCAAGCCACCACCGATAGGCGGGAGGGAGGGGGAGAATCATTTGTTTTGACTTCGCCCTGGCAGCGGCGGACACCACGAGACACCACGGGACACCGCGGGACACCGCGTGCCACCGCCGGACGAGCGGGAGGGATGGGGGAGAATTATTTGTCTTGACTTCGCCCCAGCAACGGCGGGTTCATTCTTCTCGCGCGCCCACGCAGCTTCGCCTCGCCCGCACGCACGACACGCACGAAACGATTCCCCGGTTGGGGGTCTCCGTTCCATTGCGATCTCACCCCCCAACCTCCGACATATAATTGTAGATATAGATATGCATATAGGTGTTGATTCAAAGACCCATCGATGTTATTGTATATATATGTATATATACATATATATATGTATATATATACCCTTCGTTTCACGGTCAGACTCGCTTCGGAGTCATGGTCAGAACGCGCACCCGGGGAGGGGTCTGGGGAGCAGAGCGGCATCGGTACCGTTGGGTTCCCCTCGTTCCGGGGGCAGTCTGCGGAGTCACGGAGGGCTCCCTGCAGGCTTCGGGGCGGGGGGGAGGGGTCCGAGAGAAGGACCGCCGCCTCCTGACGAGGCCTGCCCCAGTCTCTTTCCCCTCAGGACGCAGCCCCCTGGGAGGTCAGAATCAGCATCCGCGGTGGCAGATCCGCGGGCGAAAGCCATCCCTCACAATCCTGCACTAATCTGGCCCAATCCCGCCTGGTCCGGCCCAGTCCCAGGCCGAGTCAGGCTTGATCCCGCTCAGAGGCCCCCTGGTCGGGCTCTGTAGCCCTGAAAGTGGAGACCCATACCCGGAAAAACTCTTCTTGCCTCGTGCTCCGGGTTTCCTGGGCTTCGATGGTTTTGCCATGGAAAGCGCGATGTTCCCACACAATAAACTAGTGGATGTCCTGGGGTCTCAGGTAGGGTTTCTTATGGGAGGTTTCTTGCGGTCGAGCTCCTGATGTAATTTGGTCCAATCCCGCCTAGTCCAACTTAGTCCCAGGCTGACTCCAGCCCGATGCCGCTCGGAGGCCCCCTTATCGGGCTTTGTAGCCCTTCCTCGTTCTTGCGGAGACCTCCCAGGAGTTGCCTCGCCGATTTCCCCCCCCCTCCTAGCGAGGATCACCACTGAAGAAAGAGTCGCCACCAACATCCGGGGGGGGGGACCCACTGGGAAACGGAACTCTATGGAGGTCCGGTGGTGGTGGCTCTTGTTGCTCTCACGCGAGGAGTCGGGTTACCACGTCGTCCTGGACCAGATCGACCCAGAGATCAGCGGCAACTACGGCGTCGTGGTCGCCCGCCCGCGCCACGCGGAAGGCGCCTAGGCCCACGGGCGGGCGCCCTCGTAGCGGACGCGCGCGCCGCGCGCAGCTGCGCGGCGCGGGGGAGCGCGCGCAGCGTCGCGTCCTCGGGTCTCCGACGGCTTGTGAGCGACGCGGACAAACGATCGGGGAGACGTGAGACTCGGGTAAGCCGACGCTCGGGTGTGCCGATTTGTTTGTTGGCGAGCGCGTCCTGGATTTTTTCACGGCCCCGTTTTCGTGGGACGTCTGCAGCGGGAGCCCGCGTCAGATTTCAGGTTGGGCCTTGTCACTTTGATGGTGGCCCCCGTCAGGCCAACCCGAGACCCCTGTACCCGAGTCTTACACGCCGGTCGTTGAAAGTAGGTATTTTTGGATTTGCAGATCCCAATCTACTTCAAGCGCCTTCCTACTTCAAGAATCGACATGCTTTTGCTGTGTTTTGTTATTCTCTGGGAGGACCTGGACCCAATCAACTTTATCCGCCTTCCTACTTCATGTTGCTACCTACTTCTTCCGACCGACGTGTAGTGGACACCCCCCCGTGCCCCCCTAAACTCACAGTTGGCACGCGCGGGGGAGTCTGCGGTCGAGGTGCAACTCATCAGACCTACCACCAACTTTGAAATTGGGGGGAGGGGGAGGCGTTGACAGATGGATGTGGCATGAGTGTTCGATATTTTTTCTGACGCCCAAATCATCTCCAGATGTCTCACATGTGGCTTACAAATGTCGGATATATGTAGTAAAACACGTGTGTCAAACATGTTTGGAACATGTTTCGACCTTGAACATACATTTGCAACTCAATGATTGGATTGTTAGGGTGTCCATCGTCATGACATCCACAACACAAGATGGTATTCATTTCGCACGTTTCTCCTTGATTTCGGCTTTGCGGCCAGTTTTCGGGCCCTGGGGCAACCATCCCAGGATCTGGTTCGAAACGCTTGCCCCAGGGCAGGGGTCCCGACCTCTGCGGCCCGGATGGATGGAGAAGATCACGTCGTCGGTTATATGGGTCAGGTGTTCTTTTTGAGCGCTTTCCTAGGGGCCCAGAACCCCCAACAGTGACACGTCGATTAGTGAATTGTCCGTTTTCGGTTCTCGAGATGGCGCCGTGGCCGTTATTTTCCAGGCTTGCGCCCTCCAGGTTTGGGCCTCAGGTCGCTTTCACTAAACCACGTTTTACTAAAGGGGGGTCTGTCCATCCCCGAACCAAACAGGTTTGTCCGATCCTAGCCCGGCTCAAGTTAGATTCGAGTCGACGGATGCTCGACGTGGCATCGACCCGTGAGTGGAGCGAGCGGCCCCAGCAGGGCCCCAGGACGAGCATCTCATCCTCGCCCTATCTGCAGCTGCCATCACAGGGGCTGCCCGGGGGTCCCGCTCCCTTTCTTAGCGTTTTCACGTTACGGCGCCATTACCAATGGGGAGGAGGAGGAGGAGGAGGAGGAGGAGGAGGAGGAGGAGGAGGAGGAGGAGGGGGGAGCCGAGGCTCTCCCTATGGTCCCTCGGCCAGCGAAGACGGCCGCAGGGAGGGGTGCCAGCGTACCTTCACAACCCAGACCCTCAAAGCCTCAAAGCGCCAAGTGCCACCATTCACTGTTTTCCTCCATCCATCCATTTCTCTCGGGGGCGGCAAAGTGGGGGTGATGAGCAGGGGGGGTGTAGATATCATGGCGGGGGCCATGAGATTCCCCCAGATTTCATGGCGCCTCTTCTTATTTCATTACGTCCCTGTCCCCCCCCCCCCCCGGGCCGCGCACGTGCCGCCGGTCCTGATTTGCACCCCCCCCCCTCTTGGACACCCCCCTCTTGGCCGCGCCCGAGTCTCCGATTCCTCCTCACTCTCCTCTTCTCCCGGGGAGGAGGCGCGAAAGCGCGAAGTTATTCGCACTTTGCGCTTCGCGCAGCGCGAAGCGCGAAGTTGGGAGCCCTTGGTTTTCCTCCATCCATCCGTGTCTCCATCCTCCCTCGCTCGAGCCCTCCCCCGCTTCCCCAGGGCCTCCCTCCCTCCCTCGGCCTTCTTTGGCCTGCCTCCCCGCCGCTCCTCCTCCTGCCTCGTCGCCCCCCCCCCCCCTTCCCCTCGCCTCCTTCCCCTCGCCTCCTTCCCCTCCCTTCCTTCCCCTCCCTTCCTTCCCCTCCCCCCCGCCCCCTTTTTGTTGTCCGATCCTGTTCCTCCCCCTCCCATCCCAGGACCGACGGGAGACGTCGCCGCGACCCTCCAGGGTGTGCTCCGCCGCTGGGCGGCACGACCTCTGCTTCGCCTTGCCCACCTCTGAAGTCACCTGCTCGCTCCTCCTCCTCCTCCTCCTCCTCCTCCTCCCTCCTCCTCCTCCTCCTCCTTCCTCTCCTCCTCCCCCTCCCTCCTCCTCCTCCCTTCCTCCTCCTCCTCCTCCTCCTCCTCCGCCTCTCCTCCTCCCCTCCTCGCCTCCTCCTCCTCCTCCTCCTCCTCCGCCTCCTCCTCCTCCTCCTCCGCCTCCTCCTCCTCCTCCGTTTCTCGTCACGCTTTTCCCTCCCTCGACTCGCCCCTGCGAGACGGAGCCCATCCAACAAAGGCTCACGGCTGAATAGGAGCACGGTGTGCCGTGTTACGACGACCATGCCCTTCTGTTCGCAGGTCCTCTCTCTCTCTCTCGCTCGCTCGCTCTCTCGCTCTCTTCTCCTTGGATCACACGTGTGCCCTTCGTTGGAGGTTTTCTTGGATGCTGCCCCCCTGGAGTTTGATTCTTCTGACACACAGACGCGTTGAGGGTGTGCCTTTTCTGCGCCCCCCCCAAGTTGGCTCGATTCCCCTACCCTCATGTGGTTTAGTATTCGTTTCTTGAAGGGGAGCACGGTGGTGTTTCCTCATCTCGTCCTCTTCCTTCTCTTTTTTACCTTCATGCCACCTGCTGCCTTCTCTTTTTCTCGCGCTATGCCAACTGGGCAACGCCCGCCATTTTCGCTTGCCCTTTGGAGGTCAGCGGAGCGGTGTCCTAGCCAGTTCCAAGTGAGACCTCCCAACTATAACAATTCTAGACACTTCGCGTAACCCCACCAGCCCATGCAGACAACATGCCCAGGCGATTTGCCCTGATTAGGGATGCGGACGAGCATGCAGTGAAGTGAAGGGTTGGGGAAGCCGTTATACCCCAAGAGGGGGAGGATGGAGGGGGAATCGGAGGATGATGATGAGGAGGAGGAGGTGAGGAGGAGGAGGAGGAGGAGGAGGACGAGGAGGAGGAGGAGGAAGAGGAGGAGTAGGATGGGGAGGAGGGAGGGAAGAGTTGGAGGAATACGGAATAGGGAATAGGCGGAGGAGGAGGAGGAGGAGGAGGAGGAGGAGGAGGAGGAGGAGGAGGACGAGAGCGACCAGAAAGGCTGGGGGCCTCTCGGATCCCCCTCGGAGTCTCGGCCCCAATGCGTCTTGAAGTCTGGCTAGATCCGTTTGCGATGCATCTGGGGCTTCATTGTATCAGTGGATATATACATATAACGGGGGACCGGGTCCGGGGGCCCGGGGCCGGGACCTCGACCGCAAATGTGGGCTCCGGGGGGCCCGGAGGCTCGTCGGGGCTTGCCGGAGGCCTCCCCGGTCAGACAAGAGGGCCCCAGAAGCGCCCAAGACGGCCCAAGAAACTTCCAAGAGGCCTCCAAGAGGGCTCCGAGATGCTGAAGATGGCCTCCAGACGTCCAAGGACGCCCCCAAGAGGCCCCAAGAAGCCTCCAACATGCGTCCCAAGAGGGCCCCTAGACGCAAAAAATTGCCCATTCCCTTCGTAAAACGTACATTTTCAACAAAGTTGCCTTTTGGGCTTTCCGACGTTACAGGACGGCCCAAGAGGCGCCCAAGACCGCCCCAAGACGGCCCAAGAAGCTTCCAAGAGGGCCCCAGGACAGCCCAAGAGGGCCCCAAGACGGCCCAAGAGGCGCCCAAGATGGCCCAAGAGGGCCCCAAGACGGGCCCAAGAGGGGGCCCAGAGGGGGACCACGAACCGCAAGCTCGAGCCTTCCGCCCCAAGAGGCCGCCAGGAGGCCCCAAGGAGGCCCCTCAAGAGGCCCCAGGAGACCCCCAAGAGGCCCAAAGGAGGCCCCGAGAAGCCCCAAATCGGCCCCCAAAATGCTTCGAACCTGCTTCCAGGAGGCCCCCGACAGGTTCAGAGGCTCCCAAGAAGCTACGTCAAACTCCCAGCGAGCGGCCGGACGAGGCCCCCCAAAAAATCCCAAGAGGGTTCCAGTATTTGTATCCTTCAGCGCTCTCTGGCCTTCTTTCCCCTGCCCCCTTCCCTGCGACTTTCGTTGACTCAAGCTCGCCTCCTCTCCATTTCCTCTCTCTGCCTCTCTATCTCTCTCTCTGTCTTCTTCTCTCTCTCTCTCTCTCTCTCTCCATCTCTTTTTTTTTGTCTCTCTCTCTCTCTCTCCTTCGCTCTCTGTCTGTCTGTCTCTCTCTCTCTCTCTCTCCCTCTCTTTCTCTCTCTTTCTCTTTCTTCCTTTCATATTCCGTGTCCTTGCGACCTTCTGCAGTCCCCGACGTCGCCACGGCTGGATTCGCTCGAGCGTGTCTTGTGATGTGCGGCGGTGCGAAGCCCGTCCCACTGATCAAGGCACAGGTACGAAATGATGGGTCCATCATTTCTTGCCTTCCCATGTGCGTTTTCCCAATCGATTCCTGGGCCCGAGGTCGCAAAATTACGACGTCGGAGGTCTGGGGAGGCGGGAAGCACGACCTGGACCTCCGACGTCTTGGAAAAATCACGACGGCGGTTTCGGTCAATTTTCGGCCTCCGGGGCCCCTCGCAGGGTCCCGGGACCGTCAGAAAACGACTCAGGATGAAAAAAAAACACATCCCCAGGAAGTCGTCGAGAGGTCCAGGGGCCGCGCACAGAAAGCATCACGACATCGGACGTCCAGAGAGGAGGTAGGAACACGAGGAGGAGGGAGCCCAGACCTCCTGGCGACGCAACACCAAATACAACAAAAGCTTCCCCGCGACTTCCCCCAGAGACTCTAACTACAGAAACTCCTTTCGTATTCCGGCCAGAAGCATCCAGAAACGATGTACATTAGCCCTGGCGGGGGGAGTGATGGCGATGGTGATGTTCATGATGACGACGGTGACGATCCTAGCTAGAACCTAAGCGCGCGCGAAGCGCGCGCGTGGTTCTAGTATATATATATAATACAACTATGTTTACATAAATACATGGTTCCTTAAATGAAGGAAGACCTCTCCGCCGCCCCCAGCGAGGCGGGTCAGGGCCCGCCTCGGCGCTGCGCGGCGACCCCCTCGGCGTGTACGGCCGCGCAGGCGGCCATCGTGCCCCCGTTGGCCTGCGCCAGTCGCCGCCGCGGCCGCCGCTGCCTCTCGGAGGGGCCCGAGGGAGGAGGAGGAGGACGACGAGGAGGAGGTGGAGGAGGAGGAGGAGGAAGAGGAGGAGGAGGAGTAGGCGTTACCCCCCACCACTAGGCTCCTCATCTGAGCTCAGGGGGGTAACGCCCACTGCAAAGAGTTCCCCCCTCTTGGGGTGCTCCAGGGCCGTCTCAGAGGCCATCTTGGGCGTCTTGGAGGCCTCTTGGGTCGTCTTTGTGCCCTCTTGGGGCCGTCTTGGGGGCCTCTCGGGCAGTCCTGAGGCCATCTTGGAGGCCTCTTGGGCGCTGTGGGGGCGATCTTCGGGGCCTCTTGGACCGCCTTGGGTCGTCGGAGAGCCGACACGGATCAAATACGAACAACCTTTAAACACCGGAGAAAATCAATGATGTTGGCCTCCTGGAGGACCTCCTGGAGGACCTCTTGCAGGCCTCTTGGGCCGTCTTGGAGGTCTCTTGGGCACCTCTTGGGCCGTCTTGGGCCGTCTTGGAGGTTTCTTGGGCGGACTTGGAGGCATCTCCTCCTCTCTTGGGCGGACTTGGAGGCCATCGGAGGCCATCTTGGAGGCCATCTTGGGCCAACGTGGACATCACGGAGGCCATCTTCAGCCGTCTTGGAGGACACATTCCGCAATTGAGGTCCTCTCCGGGTGGTCGGCGGGACTGGCCGAAGCACTTTTGGAAACAGAGCCAAAACCAAAACCAAAACCGAGAGGGTTGAGCACGCCAGGCACCCCTGCGATGAATCGACAGGGGGCGGCGGATCGAAGACGCCTACGGCGAATCACCGCCGCCCTGTGCTTTTTTGGAAGCGCCTATGTGGCCGAACGTTGAGGCCAGGTTTGCCAAGTTATTGGACCATGTGTTCCCCGAATCGGTTTGAAAAGCCTTCGGGGAACACGTGGGCATCTTGAAAGTCATCTTGGCCGCCTGGAGGCCAATTTGACCCTTTCGTGCCTTCTTGGAGGACGTCTTGGAGGCCTCTTGGGCCGTCTTGGAGGCCATCTTGAGCGTCTTGGAGACCTCTTGGGCCGTCTTGGGGGCCTCTTGGGGCCGTCTGGGGTTGGGTTTGTCTGGGGGTCAGAGATCGGGGCCGTCTGTAGGAATGACCCCAGAAGTGGCAGGGACAGCGACTAAAACGGAAATCAGACTTCGTTTTGGTGCGAAGGTTTTTGGGGTCAATTTGTTGTTTTGAATTTTGGTTTGGGTTAAACTGTGGCTCCCGTTTCTGAGTTTTTGGCATGCACTTGAAAGTGTCGTTTGTTTTACACTATTGCATATACGTCGGTTTTCGGGGTGGGTTGTCCGATGGGTTAGGCGTGGTTGCCGGCTTCGACCTGTGCCCCGGGGCGTTGGTATTCGGCCATAGTTTGGCGGCTGTGTCTTGCGATGCAAGTTGGTCTTCGGCCTCGGCATTATTCGTCGGCCTCGGTATTACGATGCCGTCCGTCTGCGACCTCGGCCAACATGGTAAAACAACGAAAATGGATTTAAGCTTTGCTACGAGGTGGCGGTCTTGATTTCCTGGGTTCTGCGTGCACCATCGCTCGGCGACAGCGCAGTTCCCCCTGGGCACCACGACGCGCGGCTCGTTCTATGGTCCGCGGCGCCAACGGCCTCGTTGCCGCGGAGCACGCGAGCACGCGTTTTCCTGCGCGAATTGTGTTTCGCACCGCGCAGCGCGAAGCATCCAAGCGCACGAGCGCACATTTTAACAGCGATGCTTCGATGTCACGCGCTGTTCGCGCGGGGGCTCGCGTTGCACGGCCAAGAGAAGTGGGCGAGTCTTGTGCGTTTCCCATTGCGTCCAGCTGCCAGAAGCAAGTCCCTCCACCGCGCCAGTCCAGCACTTTGGGTGGCGACTGTTCGAGTGATGATAGCGACGGGAATAGCGACGAAGTGGGCGATGATACTGTGAAGGAGCAAAACAACCAGGCTGTCACATGTGACGCCCTCCCAATCAATTTCTTGAAGAGCTCTCATGGAGCTCAGGTGGGCCGTATCAGGTCAGTCTTGGGCTCCTGTGGGGCCGTCTTGCGGGCCCCTGCGGCTTTCCTGGGTTGATCTGGGCTCCACGTGAGCCGTCTTGGGTCTCTCTTGCGGCCTTCGTCGGGGCGTCGCGGGGCCGCCTGGGTCCGTCGGGGGTCGAGAGCCTTCCCAGGCCGTCTTGGATCCCATCGGCGGTGTTCGGAGGATGCCTTGGGGCTCTCCTGGGGCCGCCCCGTGCCGCCTGAGGGCCGTCGAGGTTTTGCCGGGGCCATCCCGGAGGTTTCTCGGCTCATTGTCGCGGCATCTTGGGCCGCTTAGGGTGACAATGGAGGCTTCGTTGGCCGTCTCGGGCTGACTGAAGCCAGGGACTATGTCCCCGAATCAAAGAAGCGCCGTGTCAAAATCAGCGAGCGTCGTCCCAAGGGTCCCTCGGGGTCCTTTTGGGGCCCTCCTGAGCCGTCTTGGGACGCGTTGGGGGTTTCTTTGAACCATCTTGGTTCCGTGCTGGGCCTCCGCGGTGCCATGTTGAGTTGTCTCGGGGCCATCTGCGGCCGTCCAAGGAAGAACCTGGGGCCACCTTGGCGGCCGCGACGGCCACCGGGGGCCGTCTTGGAAGATTTGGAGAGCCCCAGGGAGTCAACGCGGTCGCCCGGGAACCTTCGGGAGAAGGGGCGGCGCGCGGGAAAGCGCGCGGCGGGGCGGGCGGGCCCCTTCGGCAAATGGAGAAACCCTACCAGACAGACCTTCGCATTCGCGAGCTCCACTATCTCGGCGGCGCGGCGCCGTCTGGCGCGCGCGAGAGAGATCGAGGTGGCCCTTGCGCCGCCGCGCGCGCGACGGCTAGCAGGGTGCTCGCCGTGGATTTCTCGCGCGCGCGCGACGGCCCGGCACCTCCGCGCGCGGAAAACGCAGCGCGAGCGGCCTTACGTCGGACGCGCCTCTGAGGCCGCTGGTGTCTCCCAGCGCGTCATGGCCGAGTCTGGCCCGCCAGTTGCCGTCGCGGTTCCGTGCGAGGGATGCGGTTGCGCGGTCAAACTGGGGCGGTCAACCGGCGGTTGGTCGGCCGATCCAGGTCGGTCGGCACGCGGTTGGGCGGGCATCTCGGGCGGTCAATTCGGGCGTCCAACGCGCGTCCGGGCGGTCAACGCGCGGTTGGGCGGTCAACCTGGGCGGTCAACTCGGTCGATCAACGCGCGGCGGGGCGGTCAACGCGCGGCTGGGCGGTCAACCCGGGCGGTCAACTCGGTTGGTCAACGAGCGGCGGGGCGGTCGACGCGCGGCTGGGCTGTCAATGTGGCCGATCAACTCATCAAAGCGCGCGTCGGGCGATCAACTCGGTCGATCAATTTGGCCGACCAATTGGGGCGATCAACTCGCCAACACGCGCGCGCGGTCAATTCGGTCGATCAAATTGGCCGATCAACTGCGCCGATCAATTCGACCGATGCACTCGGCCCATCACTTCGGCCGACCAACCCCGCCGATCAATTCGGCCCGTCAACTCGGCCGATCAACTCGGCCGATCAACTCGGCCGTTCGACTCGGCCGATCACTTCGGCCGGTCAGTTCGCCTGGTCCACTTGGTCGGTATTTTCGGGCGGCCAACTCGGGGGGGGTCAATTCGGGCCGTCAATTCGGGCGCGGGTTCCCACGCGCGTCGCGGGTGCTTGGGCGCCTCCGCCCACGTACGCCGCCAGCGCATGGGTGCGCTCACCCGCGCTCGCGGTGGGTGCCCGAACGGTTTCATTCAGAGCTTCCCCGGTCAATGTTCTCCGCGGGGCCCGGAGTTTCCTGGGCCCGCTCGGTTTCGGGCGATCCAGAATCGCCCGGGCGATCGATCTCGGTCGACCCAGAGCCTCCCAGACCCTTGCGTTTCGGTCGATCCAGAGCCTACTAGATCCTTGCACTGGGACCCTCTGGTGGTTGGAGTTCCAGCAAATCGCCCGGCTGGCACCGAAACACAATGCGCCCTTCGATAATCCTTCGCCAAAGCCGCCCACACACTGCGCGAGATAGGAGTGCAGCGCAGTGCGCCTCGCCCAAATCGCTTGGCTGACGCCGAGACAGGGGAAGTCCTGGCAATCGAAGTTCACAACAACCGTTCGGCTGGCGCCGAGGCAGCCGCTCGGCCAACACCTCCACGCCGCCGCGCGCGCGGCGGCGCAGAGCCGACGTGCGTGGAGGCATGCAACGTGAGCGGCCTTTGCGCCGCCGCTCGCGCGGCGGCGCCAGTCCGTCTCGCGTGGAACAAGCGCGCCACCCGCGGTTTCTGCGACGCCGCGCGAGGGGGCGCCGTGCCGTCGCGCGCAGAGGAACGCAATGGAGGCGGCCCTTGCGCCGCCGCGCGCGCGGCGGCGCTGGGCCGTCGCGCGTGGAAAAATTGCGACGAGGCCAGCTTCTGCGCCGTCGCGCGCGCGGCGTCGCTGGGCCGTCGCGCGTTGTGACGTGCAGCGGGTGGGGTCTCTGCGCCACCGCGCGCGCGCGGCGGCGCTGGGCCGTCGCGCGCGGAAGACGCGACGCTGGCGGCCCCTGCGCCGCCGCGCGCGCAGCGACGCTGGGCCGTCGTGCGCGGAGAAGCGCATCACGAGCGGCCATTGCGCCGCCGCGCGCGCGGCGGCGTCGGGCCTGCGTGCGCGCGCACCGCGCGCGCGCGGCGGCGCTGGGCCGTCGCGCGCGGAAGACGCGACGCTGGCGGCCCCTGCGCCGCCGCGCGCGCAGCGACGCTGGGCCGTCGTGCGCGGAGAAGCGCATCACGAGCGGCCATTGCGCCGCCGCGCGCGCGGCGGCGTCGGGCCTGCGTGCGCGAGGAAGCGCAGTGGAGGCGGCCCCTGCTCCGCCGCGCGCGCGGCGGCGCTGGGCCGCCGCGCGTGGAAAAACGCGATGAGACCAGCTTCGGCGCTTCCTTGCGCGCGGCGGCGCTGGGCCGTCGCGCATGAAGAGGCGAAACGGAGG